TGACGCTGAGCCTGTGGGTGTACGAAGCACGGGACCTGCCACCTCGGCGTCGCCTCCGTTGTCACCTCCACCTGGACGGCACCCTCTTCGCCCGTACCACCGCCAAGGTGGCCGGTCCCGACGGCGAGCTCTTTTGGGGTGAACTCTTCCAGTTGGCCGCCCTACCACCCGCCCGTGCCCTCACCCTCGCCCTTTGCCGCGATGACCACCCCGGTCAACCGGTGGCCTCCATCACCGTCCCCTTGGCCGAGTTGGCGGCTGCCCGGCAGCCCTTGGAGCGCTGGTACCCGCTGAGCGGTCCTGGCGGAAGCGAGCGGGTGCCCTCGGTGAGGGTGCGCGGGCGCTACCGGGAGGTGCGGGTGCTGCCCATCGTACGCTACAAGGAGTTGGCCGAGTTCATCACCTTCCATTACCGGGAGTTGTGCGCCCGTCTGGAGCCCACCATCGCCGTGCGGCACAAGGAGGAGCTGGCCGGTGCTCTGGTCCGCGTCTTACAGAGCACCGGGAAGGCCAAGGTGGAGCGGGTGTTGGCCATGGGGGATGTGGGTGGGATGGGGGTGAGATGGGTGCTGCCTGGGGTGCTGTGGGCATGGTGGTTGGGGTGGGATGGTCATCATGGGTTGGGGGTGCCAGAAGAGCTGGGGTGGGACAGGGTGGATGAGTTGGGTTGGGATGGGCTGGGTTGAGTTGGGATGGGATGGGAGGGTTGGGCTGGGTTGGGATGGGATGGGATGGGATGGGATGGGATAGGATGGGTTGGGTTGGATTGGGTTAAGTTGGGATGGGATGGAATAGGAGAGTTTGGCTGGGTTGGGATGAGATGGGATGGATGAGTTGGGTTGGGTTGGAATGGGTTGGGTTGAGTTGGGTTGGGTTGGGTTAGGTTGGGAGTGGTTGGGATGGGATGGGATGGGATGGATGAGTTGGGTTGGGTTGGAATGGGTTGGGTTGGGATGGATGAATTGAGTTGGGATGGGATTGGTGGAATGGGATGGGATTGGTGGAATGGGATGGGATTGATGGGATGGGATGGGAAATGCAACCCAGGATGGGTTGATCAGGGCTGTTCGGTGCCACGGGTGCCCGCTGAGCCCTTCAACACATCCACCTGGCAGTCGTTCCTCATCGACCTCGGTGTGGCCGAGCTGGACCGCTTCGATGACCGCGAGGCGCTGATCTTCCGTGAGAACACGCTGGCCACCAAGGCCATCGATGAGTACATGAAACTGGTGGGGGGCAAGTACCTCCAGGACACTCTGGGTACGTCTGAAGGTTACAGGTCTTTGTGGGACATTACGGGGTGTAGGACATCCTGGGCATGACATTACAGGGTGCTACAGGGCGCTAGGGGGTGTTATGGGGTGCAAGGCATGGGGCAGAGCATTATGGGGCTGTAGGATGTAGGACATCCATGGGGATGTGGTGGGGGCTTGTCACAGCCATGCCCATGGCGGTGGCTGGTTGGTCCCCTTACGGGCTGCCCCTCGGCGCCCAGGTGAGGCCGTGGCCCAGCTCTGCACCTCGGATGATAGCTGCGAGGTTGATCCCAGCAAATGCGCCGGCCTTGACCTCTCCGACAACCAGAACAACCTGCGGCAGGTCTGCGAGGAGACCTTCCAGCGCATCGCCGCGTCCTGCGAGTGAGGGACAGCCCTTGGCTTGGGCACGGGGATGGCCACGGGGGTGGGCACCTGCACAGGGATGGGTCTGGAGATGGACAGCGGTGCGGGCAATGGGACAGGCCTGAAGATGGGCACCGACAGCAGGAGGACCTGGGGAAAAGCTTGGAGATGGGCATGGGCGCAGGGATGAGCTTGGGGACAGGAATGGGCGGGAGGACAGGCACTCTGGCACCAGGGTGGGCATGGGGATGGGTTTGGGGACTGGCATCATCCCTGGGATGGCGGGATAGGCACCAGGAATGACCTGGGGACAAGCTTGGGGACAGGGATGGGCACCACCCTTGGGATGGACATGAGGATGGGCACCAGGAAGGACCTGAGGACAACCTTGGGGACAAGCACAGGGGACCGACACGGGAACAGGCACAGCCGTGGTGGACACCATGTCCCACAGCACATCCTGGTGGCGCACAGCAGGGGGTCCAGGACCACCCACCTGCCCCAACCCCCATCAGGGCGTCTGTCCTTGCAGCGCCTTCCCGGCAGAGCTGGGCGAGATCTTCGCGGCGTGGCAGGAGGAGTGCACGGCGCGGGGCAAGGCGCCCATCGGGCAGCGCCTGGTCTCGGCCTCCCTCTTCCTGCGGTTCCTCTGCCCCGCCGTCATGTCCCCCAGCCTCTTTGGCCTCGTCCAGGAGTACCCGAGCGAGGCCACCGCTCGTACCCTCACCCTCGTGGCCAAGGTCATCCAGAACCTGGCCAACTTCACCACGTACGTCATGGCAGGGCGCAGCACCGGTAGCTGTGGGGAGGGACATCCCCGTAGGGAAGCCACAGGGCAGTGGGGACATCCCCTACATGCTGTGTGGCACGTGCCATGGACAATCATGGGGCAGTAGGGTTGTCCCCAACATACCATGGGGCAGTAGGGATGTCCCCAACATACCATGGGGCAGCAGGGACATCTCCTACATGTCATGAACCAGCCATGGGACAGTAGAGGACATCTCCACTCCATGCATGGGGTTGATGTGTCCCAGCAGTAGAGCCTCACGTGTCACCTGTGGTGGCCTGACCTATGGGTGGCTTGTTGAAGAACATGGCAGTGTCCTCCCCCATGTCCTGGCTTGTAGACAGGGTGGTGACGTGGTGCAGTGACTTGGTCCGTGATCCTGGAGATGGCCTGGCCCATGCCCATGCTGGTGGCCCATGACCGTGGTGGTGGCCCATGCCCGGTGGTGGTGGCCCAGGCCGTTGCCTGGTCCCCAGGTAACCAGACATCATGGTCCCCAGGTTTGGCGAGAAGGAGGCCTACATGGGCTTCATGAACGAGTTCTTGGAGCACAACTGGAGCACCATGACGGCCTTCCTGCAGAGCGTGGCCAACCCCGAGAGCAGCGTCCACATGGCCACCTACGACGGCTACGTGGATCTGGCCCTGGAGCTCGCCACTCTCCACCTCCTGCTCTGTGACATCTTCTCCAGCCTGGACCAGGTGCCACCACCCATTTGTCCCCAAGGGTAGCGGGTGTGACTGGCCACCTCCTCCCCACACACAGAGCTGGTGGCCACTGCTGCATGGATGGCACAAGGCCACTCATTGTCCCCATAATGTCCTTGCCTCCTCCTGGCAGGTCACGCAGGAGGAGCTGGAGCCCCTGCCCACCATCCTCACCGCCATCAGGGAGGGGACCCCTGTCCCCGTCTCCGTCCGGCTGAGCTCCACCACAGAGCGAAGGTACCGGTGGGTGGACAGGGCCACACGTGGGACCAAGGTGGACACGTGGGGCCAGAAGGAGCTTTGGTAGAGGGGTGACATCAGGATGGGTTTGGGGTGGTTCTGGTCCTGGCTGGGTTCAGGGGATGGTTCTGGTCTTGGTTGGGTCTAGGGAGATTCTGGTCCAGAATGGGCTTGGAGTCACTGGTCCCAGTTGGTTTCAGGGGATGGTTTTGGTCCCTGATGGGTTCAGGGGATGGTTGTGGTCCAAGCAGGGGATGGTTCTGGTCCCAGTTCAGGGGATGGTTCTGGTCCCAGTTCAGGGGATGGTTCTGGGCTGGGCTGGGTTTGCTGGACACATCTGGCCCCGGCTGGGTCCAGCAGGAGTTCCAGATGGATTTGGGGGGGGTTCTGGTCCTGGCTGGGTTCAGGGTGGTTCTGGTCCCACCTGGGTTTGGGGTGACTCTGGTTCCAGCTGGGTTTGAGGTGGTTCAGGTCAAGGCTGGTTTTGAGGATGGTTCTGGTCCCAGTTAGGTTTGGGGGATGTTTCTGGTCCCAACTGGTTTTGAGGATGGTTCTGGTCCCAACTGGTTTTGAGGATGGTTCTGGTTCCACTTGGGTTTTGAGGATGGTTCTGGTCCCAGCTGGTTTTGAGGATGGTTCTGGTTCCAGTTGGGTTTGAGGTGCTTCAGGTCCAGGCTGGGTTCAGGAGATGGGTCCAATCCCAACTGGTTTTGGGGTGCCTCTGGTCCTGGTTGGGTTTGGGGTGGTTCCGGTCCCTCCCGGGTCCGGCACCGCCCCGGTACGCGGCCGTGCCATCGCCCCATCTCCCCTCGTAGCCCGGCAGAGAGCTTCAAACCAGGCTTTGTGCCACCGCGGGACCTGAGCAAGCACAGCCCCCTCATCAAGAGCCAGTCCCTCATCAGCATCCGCCGCGTCCGGGGCCGGGAGGATGGACCAGGCGCAGAGCAAAGCCGCCCGGCGCCTACGCAAGCAGAGCAGCGCCGAGCACGTGGCGGAGCCGCCGGTCGAGGACAACGTGGGGTCCCACGTCACCCGCGACGCCTCGGTAAGCCACGGCAGCCGCCACATCGCCCTCGCGTTGGGGCCGGTGCTCTGAGGAGGGCGCCGGGGGTAAAGGGGGG